TCGGGCTGCGCAAGTTGCTGTGGCACTGGAGGCTGTAGTTAGTCAGCACGGGCGTCACGGGAGCGAGAACGCTCTCTGGCTCTGGTGTCATTGCTGAGATTGTGGGTGGTTCGTGGTGGAGGACCTGTCCAATAGTGGTGGAAGCGTTCTGCATCTTGTGGTGGTGTGCGTGGTGCTGGGGAGGGTGAGCGGTTGGAGTGTGGTGGTGGTAAGGGGAAGCCGGGCGGTGTGTCATGTAGGGTGGCCAGGTTGCGGGAGGAGAGTTGTGCTGTGGGGTCGATGCGATATTGCCCCGGGAGGCCTGGTCCAGTGGTGACGAACTGGAGGAGCCGGCGAGCGAGGTAAAGACTGTCAATGAGGCGGTCCATCAGCATCAAGTCGCCGCGCATGCGGTAAAGGAGGTGGTATGCTCTGTCGTCTTGAAAGTATGTTTGGTTGGGCATAGGCTCTGCATGTGCTGAGTGGGTGGCGGCGAATGTGTTGGTTGACCATGAACAGGAGGTCGAGTGAGCTGTGGAGAGATTGGAAGTCCGGCTGAGCGCAAATAGAAGGTTGGAGCCAGCTAGGGGGTCGCGCTGGTAGAAAGTATTCCGTATTTGTAGCGCTGACTGGTGGGCGAGCGGGAGGAGTGGCCATGGAGGCAGGTACGACACGAGAGTTCAGGGCAGAGTGGCACACAAAAGGCTGCGGAGCTGTAATGAGCCTTGCATTCGGTGAAACAACATATGGCGGAAAATGCTGGGAGGAAACGCATGGAAGACGGATCAAGCGTGTCGAAAAACCTGAACTGCAGTGTTACATCACAAAATTGAGAGATTGGAAGGAAACTACACAAGGATGTCACTGAAGGTGGCTGGATTTATCCTGTGGCACGCCGGGGAGATTGGGTGAAACAAGTCAAGTGAAATAACTGCCAATAGGCGTGGTTGGAGATTTCTCCGGATGCCTGTTCTCACTGGGCGCTCGCTCAGCAGCCGGCAGCGGCAGCACATCAGCTGTGGGTGATTTTGCTGGTGGTGTCGGAGGTGTTGTCATGGGAGAAGGTGAAAAATCCGTTTGTGAAGGTGGCGGCGGTGAGCCTGCTGGTGAGGTGGGAGTGGGTGGAGGGGAAGGTTCCTGTTGGTGTGGGTCCGCCTGTAGTGATGTGGCGGAGAATTGTTTGTCCTGTAAATGTTGCAGGTCTTTCAGTTCTTTCCATCGGGCCTGACATTGCTCGACGGAGAAGCCAACTCGTCGAGCGACAAAAATCCAATTGGGGCGGAGTCTGGGATTGCCTTTGAGTTCCAGGAGGCGACAATCGGCGTCGCCATCCCATGCGTCCCAATCTGCCTGCTGGTTGAGTGGTGGTAGTGGTGGTTGCTTGCGCTTGCGAGTTGTAGCAGGTTGTGGAGTTGGGGTGGGTGAAGGTGTGTCGTCGGAGTTGTTGGATGTTGGTGGTGGTAGGCGAATAGGTGGTCTGGAGGGTGCCGAATCGCAGGAGGAAGTGGGGGAAGGTAAGTTAATAGGTTGGTGGTGGTGGGAGCTGTTGGAAATTCTGGCGGAAAGTGGGATCCGCCTGGCGGATGTGGTGTAGAAAGTGGGTGTGGAGGTGTGCCATGATGTCTGTTGCTTGTCGGAGCAGGCTTTGGACCTGTGAAAGTGCTACAGTGGCTTTGTGTAAAAGAGCTTGGTTGTCGTGGTGTGGAGTTGAATCGGTGTTGTTCATGATGTGGGCGGATATCAGTAGGAGTTCGTCACCGGTTGCAGCTGCAGCGCGGCAAAGCGGCTAGGCTGCAGCTGGCCAGCAGCAGCACGTCATCACGGGATCATGCGTATGAATTAATCGAGCAGAAAACACAGGCCAGAATGGTCAAAAATATATGGGTAAACGGAGAAACAGCATGGCAAGTGGAGCAGTCACAAGTTAAAATTCTCATCCGAAGAGCCTGGTAGAAGGTTCAGAGCAAAATCTGCAAATCAAACTCGCCAGTTCTTGAAAACTTGAAAACTCGACAGGACCGCGGGAACGCAGCAATGGCCTCTTTTGTTGCTGTGGGCAAAGGTATGTGCGGTGGGGTGAAACGAAGAGTGGAGGTGGAGGTGGTCGTTGTTGGGAGGTGGTGGATGGTGGTGTCATAGGTCAGGGGGAGTGGAGTTGGTGGACCATGCCAGTCCTTTGACAATGGCATGGTCTGGGTGAATCACCCAACATCGACCCTTCTGGTGGAAGACGGCGCCGTGTCGTTCGTTGAGGAGGGCCATGGCCTGTTCTTCGCCACCGGAAGTGTATTTTGTGGCAGCGCCCCAGGCGAGGAGCGTAACGATGAGTGAGTGGGTGTTTTTGTGGAGCTGCCAAGTGTTGTGAATGATGCGAGCGAACTCGCTTTGGTCGTGGGTTGGGTTGTGGGTGATGCGGATGCCCTGAGCGAAAAAACCAGGGTAGTTGGCAAAGTGGAGTGTGCTGGGTAGGAAACGACCTTGGCGTAAAATGTTGGCAACGTTGCCGACTGGGCCTGTATGGCCGGCGTTAATGTGCGCGACTTCCCCGTGGGTGGAAGTGGCACGGGAAACTGCTGGTGGCTCTGGTGTGGCGGCTTTTGTGTTGAGGTAAGGGAGTGTGATGGCGTTGTATTGGAATTGATCGTATTGGTGAGTGGTTTCATTCCACTTCGCATGGGCGTGTTGTCGAAAATCGGTAATGTCCTTGTAAGTGATGTGGCAGTCGGCAAGGAGATTGGCAATGTATTGGTGTTGTGGTCGGTTGGGGGAGTCGAGTTGGTTGGCGTGGAATTCGAACCAGTCAAGAAGTTGGTCCGTTGGTGAAAGGGCTTGAAAATTGAGTGGAGGTCGCCAGCGGTTGAGTGGGCGACGGATGACTGCTGTCGCGGGATATTGAGAAGGGTCGGTGTTGGTGTTGTCGGTGTTGGGTCGTAGGTCGATGGGTTGTGGGGAGCGGCTGCGAGATGGTGTGGGGCTGTAAGAGTAGGTGGAGGTTGAAGGCGAGCGACGTCGCCTGGTGGCGCTGTGGTGTTTAGAGTGGCGGTGATGTCGATGCCACGATGGTGGCGGTGGCGGCCGCGATGGTGATGGTCAGACTTTCGCCGGCTTTTGCGGCGGCGGCGACTGCTGTGAGGTGGGTGTGGGGACGGTGGTGGTGGTGCTGGTGAAGCGGTGCTGTCTGGCTTGTCTGCTGCAGGTTGTGGAGGTGCAGTAGTTGGAGGGGCTGACGCAATGGATGGTGATGGAGATGGTTGGGAGCCAGTGCCTGACGTGGCGACATTGGGGACTGGTGCTGGGGGGTCGGATGGTGCCGGTTGCGGAAGTGGTGGTTGAGCTGGTGGTGAGTCGCTGATGGCCAATGGAGGCGGTGGTGGAGGCAAAGGTTGCGGTGAAGGTTGTGTGACAGGGGGAAATGCTGAATAGGGTTGCCAAACACCCTGGGGCATAGGCCACTGTGGGTCTGTGGGAGGATGGTGAGTAATTGTTGCCTGTTGTGGTGCTGGAGGTGATTGGATCGCAGTGGTGTTGGTAGGGTCGGTGGGTGGTGTGTGATGCAGTTGTTGTACCAGGTAAGAAGGAGGAGGTGCTGGTGATGGAAAAGCTGGGGGTGGGTGTGTGGGTTGTGGTGGCGGCTGAGATGGATGCACAATTGTCCAGGCTGAGGGAGTGCCATAGGACATCGTGGTGGGACTTGGAATAGGCATGGTAGGCGGAGCCTGATAGGGTTGTGGTTGCGGAAAAGGATACGCCGAGGGATGTGGTGAAGGAAAAGTGGGTACGGTATGTGGCTGCGGCAGCGGCAATGTCGGCTGTGGTTGCCCAATGGGTAGTGGTGGTGGAGTAGCGTGGGAATACGGCCAGGGAAAATGCATGTTGTGGTCAACGGTGTTGGTCGTGAAACTTCAGCGCGGTGCAGTAGAGGCTTCTGAATGGCACGGCGCAGCGCAGCAGCAGTGGTGCGGCTGAGATTGCAAAAATGTTGTGGTCATGGTGATGTTGAGAGTCGCAGTGTTCATGTTGAAAGGGAGTATGCTGTGAAGGTGAGCTTGATGTGACAGGTAAAATTGTTGTAATGTGTAACATGTGGTCGCGCATCTCGAATTAGAGAACTCCAGTATGCAAGCTTGAGTTCCTCTGACGGAAAGGTCACGGCACAGATCCAAAAATCTTTACAAGTCAAATCATGTAACAAACTCGTGCAAGACTGATCTGAAGGTTTGTGAGAGAAAGAGCTGCCGTGTTTGGGCCCGGAGGCCAGTGCATCAGTTGATTCTATGGGTGTGTCAAAGACTTCCCGTGGAAATCCGGTGAAAGGTGGCAAGTTGGGGTGGATGCTTTCCGATGCAAAAACAGCGCCCCTGTGACGGGGATCACACTCAGCACCCGAGTGGGACGGCTGAGCGAAACACACTCCGACATTGGTTTTCAGTGACTCAGTTACCACGTTGAGAAGGAAGGTGAGGGAACAGAAAGGCTGCATAAGTCCGAGCAATTGAAAGTTGAACAATTGTTTCTCAGCGGCTGAAATCTGCGGCAGCAAGACAAAAAGCGGCTGAAAGCTGCGGTGGAAAAACCTGTTTGTGGGGAAGGTATCATGGGAAACAACCATGAAAACAAAGAAACAGCGGCGAGGGGAACCAGTGGAGTCAGTATGTTCAGCGCAGGTACGTCCAGAAGGCGTCCCTTCCGGATATCACCGCGGTTCGAGGAGTGTCTTCGTTGAGTGGTGACTCCAAGACCGCGCACCACTCCCCTGCTTGCGAATCGGTGGTGAAACGGGTGGAAAGTGAATCGGTTGGAAAAGACCCTTTGTCCAGGGGTGGACACACACACACACAGTCGACCTCACAAAACACAAAGCAACGTCACGAGAACGCTCTACCCCCAGATCCCCAAAGAATCGGAAGCCTAAGGCCTTTAAAAGGAACCCTTTGGAACCCTAAGGCCTTTGAGGGCTCTTGGCCCAAAGGAACCCTTCTTTTGAGACCGCTCAACATCCTCCCGTCCCTGTCCCTGTGAGCCTGCTTCCACCAAATCCCAGTGCATTGTCAAGACTCCGTCGAGTTGCTGGATCAAGCTCGAAGGGACCAATCTGAGAGCGATTGCGGTTCTCAGTGGACTTGTGCTTTCTATTGCTTTCATTTGCTTTCTGCTTCTTTTGCTGTTATGCTGCCTCTGTCCCTTTCGATTCAGCCCCAAACACTCAGATATATAACTTACATCAAAACTAATCCAAGAGATTGCACAAAGAGTATCAGTAAACAAAGATTGCATAATATTGCTATATTCACTTGAAAATACTCAAGAGATCTTGCACCGACCAAGTGTCATTAAATTGACCGCCTCCCCGACAACAATGCCATGATGACCATCATCGGCGTCTGCTGGTTGTGCCTTTGACTTCTGCACTCAACACTTGACAGCTGGTGAGGCCAAAGATTGCTCCGCTACAGCCTACAACACTGCATCACATTGCACAAGAATATGAGTGTCAGTGCCTCTACTGAAATGTCGGTCCCAGCATCATCAGCCGAGATCTGATACCTGCTTCAATCAAATGCTTAAACCAACATCATCCACACTCACCAGCATAGCAAATCTAAACAGTCAAAGAACACGGTGACTGACACATGGTGCGGACATATTCGAAGTGACACCAGGTATCTCAACTGGTAAATCTCCAACTCGCCGTCTCCATTTGCAGCGCAATGGCACCTCAATCACTGCACTGTGCAATCTCTTGGTCAAAAAAGGGAGTCATAATTAGTCAGTATAGTACAAGCTGGGATGGTAACATAACGGAGGGAACCTTTGCTAGCGCTTCATGCATGCTTGACACGGCGGCAACTCACACTGAGTTGACAAGCTTGGGGCTTGGAGATTGTGAAGTACTGCCCTCTGGATACGACCAGTCAGAGTTGCCTTTACTGCGAATTACATATTGCGCGCAGCGAAGGGCGAAGTGAATACTTTGCAGTCCGCAGGCTAGCGCCAGTAATGCCAGCAACTACGGCAACAGCTTGCGTACTGATGACCTGTTCGCCTGTTCTGAACATGTTTTGTTTCATTCGTGTGCTTTCCTGAACTTTCCTGACTTGCAGCTCCAAGTTTAGAGCTTAGCAATTCAACAGCTGCTTTTTCTAGATGTCCTCTTTCTACTTAACTTGGCACAGGTAAAATCCGCCATGGGCGTCCTGAAGAACTGCAAGAACGGCAAGCTACAATGCGGCATGCGGTGGATGAATATGAACCATGACTGTATATACATTGGCCGTTTGCCGTCTATTCCTCACGAGTACAGCGGAGGTGTGGACAAGTTCTGGCCAAATCTAGCAGAGACTCCTACTGAATCATTGAAACCCTGCCATCTGCAAACCAGTCCGGCAAGCAACGGAAAGCGAGAAGCGAGCGGGCGCGGTTCTTCTAAATGGCCAAGTTCACTAATGGCTTGCTTTGTTTCCCTCTCTTCTGTGCTCTTTGCGCGTCAGGCGTTTTCCATCCTTTTTGGGTTACTCTTGGTTCTTTGTCTTTGCGAGCCTTGTTGCTAAAAAACTGGCTTTAAGCCTCAATGTTACTTTAGACTGTTGGTTCTTTGTCTTTGTGAGCCTTGTTGCGACAAAAACTGGCTGCTCTAGGCCCCAATGTGATTTTGGTGTTGTTGGCTTCGTATTCTTGGTTTTCCCGGTTGGTTTTCCTATGCGCTTTCCATGTCTCTTAAGTTGGCTTGCCTTGTTTTCGCCTCTTCTCAAGTAGATTAGCCT